ACAGGCCTCTCTCATCTTTTTAAGTGGGAGAACTTGCACAATTAGTGGCTGACTAAATACTTTTTTGCCCACTGTAGCTGGATCTTTAATATAATTCAGTATAGCTCTTGTTCTGGCTGCTTCTATTCTTGTCCTTAATTGCTTATTTAAAAAGGAAAATTAAGCATGCTCTTTCCTTTTGGCATTTAAATGTTTGAAAGTGAATAATACAGGCAATTTACTATGATGACATCTATCTTAGTCTTATGATGGATCTCACCAAATCTTCTGGATGCAGAGTATTTGTCAGAATTAAAATTCCACAGTGATTCATTTTGCTACCAGTATGGTAGAGTCCCTATAGTTGAATCATTATTGTATTTGTTTTAAGTATCTAACTCTCAACTGTATTTGCTATAGTTTTCAGAACCTGGGCATTCAGTGTGTGAAAAAGAGAGAACTCAAGGAATCCATCATCTCACGAATTGCTAAGAAGATCAATCCATTCAATGGTAAATAACACTGATCATTAATTGCTGTAAAGACTGTTGAGATTCCCTAATGATTTACTTTTCAAACATTTTTGAAATATTGATTCCCTTAACATGTATCAAACATGTTAAACAGCAAAATGGAACAGCTACCTGGCAGTGGATATACATGTGAATTAGCATAACTGACTGTCGCATCATGTTACTGGAGACTTACCTTTAACAGTTCTTGTGTTTTTTCTTGTGTCTATGAATTCTAAATTTATCCAAAGAGTAGCATGGGAATAAAGGAAGGAAAATCTGAATTGTGAGGAGTGCAGAAGCTTTACCCAGTAAAGTCTTTAAGTGTATATCTAAAAACCCTAACCCTAACCCTAACCCTAACCCTTAACTCAAGCAGTGAACCAGGGGAACAGACCTTAATTTTCCCTGTGTGCTATACTAATAAGCCTTTATGACCATTCAACTCACTATCTGAGAATATAAATCTTTGCAGCAAGTCACAGTGGATCATAGAAAAATGCTTTATGGCAAGTCATTTTCTAAGAATCTAGTAATATATAAGTAGTCCTCGCTTAACATCCATTTGTTCAGCGACTGTTCAAAGTTACAACAGTGCTGAGAAAAATGGACTTGTGGTCAGTCCTTGAACTTACAACCACCGCAGTGCCCCCGCGGTCACGTGATAAAAATTCAAGCCTGCCTACATTTATGATCGCCTCCCCCTGCTGCCCCCCCAGCTGACCTTTGTCATCTTTGCCTGCCTCCCCTCCGCTGGGCTTACCATCCCAGTCACACGCGGGGAAGCATTGCAGCTCTGGGGCTTCCTGCACCCTCATGCACCCTCCCCCACCCGGCAGCAGCCAAACCCGCTGCACCTCACCAGCCACTCGCACAGCCTCCCCCAGCCCCGCTGCATTTGTGCTGCAACTCACCGGCCACCCACACACCCTCACACACCAAAATCAAGGACCAAAAGAGAAATGTACAGTATGTGTGTGGATCCATGTGTATGTTTTAAAGGTCAAACTTTAAGAATACAGTACTTTAGTATCTGATTGGTTCTATCTTTATGTAGCCAGATTAGAAAGCCATTGAATAACTTCAGTCCAAGTTCATGTGAAAATGATACCTCTGCACACACTGTAATCCTCCCACAGTTCAGTTGTTCCACTGAAACTGATACGTCATGGGGAGGCTGTGGTCATGAGAAAGAAGCGCTGTCTTCTGTGGACTTAGGCATTGTTTCACATCACTGGCAAAGGGATGTAGCTTTTGAGGGCAGAGGTAATTCAGCAGTACATGTGTTAATACCACAAAGCTTTTTAAAGAAAGTTGCATATAAGCTCAGTATGATTTGTGGGCACAAACTGAATGCCAATTTAGGCTCTGGCTAAATAGCAAATAAAATGACACTGAGATGCAAGCACAGACTAGCTCACCATATCCATATTGTGATCTTGGTCTAGAGCTGGGTGATTTCATCCGGTACTGTTCATAGTTTTATGAGATCTTTCTTAGCTGATGTCTTATCAGATCATTTATTTCTGGAAACTAGAAAATCTGATTCTTCAAGCAAAACCTACAGACATAAGAGAAACAACAAACCGAATTTAATTGAAAAGTTGCATAGACTCTCTCTATAAGCAAACAGGGATGCAGTTTAATAGATTAGCTCAGAATATCAGAACATTGAACAGCTATAGCTAAGAAAGATTAACACAGATCTACTTGGGATTTCGGTCAGTAAGAATTACAGCATCAGATTAGATGAGATAGAGCTTAATTTATTTCAAGAATTCTGATGAATCTTTTTCTTCAAGGAACAGCATATAGATTATTAAAATGAATATGACAGTTTCCTCTTATAGCCCATGCACTAGTAAAACCTAAAACTAGCCAGTTACATCTTTAATCTTGATTCCATACAATGTCAAAGAAAGAAAAAATGCTGAAGAGTTTTTATAGTTAGTTTTATAAGCTTTACTAGGCAACAAAATGAGAAGAAAAGGGGATGGTAAAGACCAGCAACAAGTTGGAAGAGAAACTGAGAGAAAGGGCTATCAGAATGTGGGAGAATAAGCCATACTAGAGCTCCTATATATACAAGTCATCATGTTGGAGGCATTTTTCTGTACTTTACTCTTCAGACACTATCACACCACCACAAAAACAGATCCACAAAAACAATTGGAAGTGTGCCCCTGTTCTTGCTAGAGCTGACCTCAAAGAGAACTCTGCAGTTCCACCTTGAGCTGAGCAGTTATGGAAGGCAGAAAATAGTGTTAAATATGTTGCTATCCTTACTGTTGGTAGTTTGGGAGTCACAGGGTGGGGGACAGAGAAGGCTGTCACAAGATGCTTAAGGGAGGCTAAAATACTGCAAGTTTTAAGCACATTTTGCCTAACAGCCTTCAGACATTGTAATCCCTTTAAAAAAAATTAAAAAGCAGACAAAGGAAATACGGAAGGGAAATCACGCCAGACCAACATTGGAGGAATGTGTCATGAATCAAAAATGAAATAGATGCCACAGTGCAGGAATAAAACACTTATGTAAATACTCCCCAAGTAGCACAGAAAGAGAAGAACAATAAAAAGAGCAGAAACAAATTTAAAGTGTAGGAAAGGAGTGATAGTTAAAAGCATCCTAAGATAAATCAGCAGAATTCTGAACAAAGCAAGCAATTTTAAGAATTTCTTAAAGTAATAGCACAATCTTAAAGAATTAAGAGACCTGAAAAAAATAGGTAGAATGTTTTAGAGAAGTTGAAAAATAATGCAAAGCACCCAGATTTGGGAAAACATCCTGAGATATCAAAAAGATATCAAAGTTATCAAAAAGAGATATCCTGAGATATCAAAAAGAGAACACAGAAAACAAACCAAGTCCTCCATCCAAATAACAATATCCAAGGTAAAAAGAATTGCAGAACAGGAGAAGAAGGACAAGTCCTCTTTCTTCTGTCATTTTTCTAGCCAGGCAGAGTCTGTCAGTCCGAACAAAGGGAGATCTGTCAAGCTAAACATCTCTAAGCAACTTTAGTCATTTTTCTACATTTTACTATTGAGCAACTGTGGGAAGGCATGTAGTCCAGAGCAAAACCTATAATAGGATGACACACCCTTATTTACATATTGAAACCATTGCAAGAAAAACAAAGTAACGAAGGAAAAAAAGCAATAGCAAAGGAGATGGCTGTCCCCCTCAGAAGTGCTGCAGAAGTACAAGGCAATCTAGGACAGAAAGAAAGGGAGGCAAGAAAAATACATTGAAATAACCCAAGACACACTCCAGGATACTAGCAACCCCTGGAAAACAGGCAGCAGATATCAGAGGCATTCCCAAAAGTCTATGCTGGACATGCAGACAGTGCTCCCAAATAATCCTATTTGAAGCATTATTCTAGGTTTATTTTTGGGAGCATATGGGAAAGTGTATGAATGCTTTCAAAGTTTTGGTGGGAGAAGCTGCTGTTTTCCTCATTTGGAGTTATTATTGATTGTGTATGCTGGGAGATCATGGCTTGGTTGGCATCTGCAGGCCATCAGTACTAGTTAGTCATGTGTAGTGTCTGCTAAGATTCTGACAGTGAGTTCTATTATGGCTTTTACAACTGTTGGAGAGCCTCAACTCTTTTGCTTGGAGGACTGAGTAGTCAGAGTAGGATAATTATCCCACTTTTGTGGAAGATATGATGTTCATATGACATGGAAGTTTAATTCAGAAAAAAATGCAGGGCTGTTATTAAAACTGACACTTCCTAACTGCATAGCTGTTCTTATGATACGCTAGAACCCCATAGTGTTCTCATTATACACTAAATCTGGTGTGATCGGTATTGTGTGGAAATAGCCTCTGAATTATTTACTGTATTCTTTGATTAAAGATGACAAACTTTGAGAAAGTATGCAGCTATTTTATGAAGCTGGCTTGACCTGTGTAGGTTGCAACATGATTTCTAATCTATACTTTTTTATAAATAAATGTGAGGACAGCAGGACAGCAAAGATGTAGGAGTCTGGGTCCAAATGAGAAGGACTTTAAGGGTAGGTGACTGTTTACTTTGTGAGTCACAGCGTGGTGAAGTGTGTACTAGATGAGGAAATGTGATTGGTGTTTTGGGAGACAGTTAAAAGGGTGATACAGAAAATGTTTAATGGGTAGATTGGGGCTCGTATTTCTGACCATGTGTGAACATGGAGTGAATCTAAAGTAGGTGGTGTTCCTCAGTGTGGTCATGGAGATGAGAAAGGTGGGATCATGAGATGTAGCACTTAGTCACTTTTCAAGTCTGACATTACCACAAAGATCATGAACTTTCTTATTTTTTATTACGATTTTAATAATATTAGTATTTTATTTTTTTATATTTTAGTCATAATATCTCATTCACATTCTCTAATATTTTAGAAATGGCTTTTCCAATTTAAAATATTATGTAATGCAATAGAACTAACCTACACAAAGGGTAAATTCAATGTTTGGCTGAAGATGATGTGAATAGTGATTCAATATTTCTGGAGGGAATCGGCTTGAACAAAGATGATATTGATATTTAAACTGGGTTTTCAGTTTCTTTTAAAATTGTGTTTTTAATCTCTCTGCATCCTAGAAGTGTAATAGAATAACAACTGAAACCAATCCATCAGTCCTGTTCAGCTGACCACAGATGTAGCTTCCTAGGCTGTTGCTGCAACATGAGGGACATCTATGGCTTCAATTCAGTGCATTACCAAGATGCTGCCTTTCTATTAACTTCAGATAGATTTTTAAGAAGCCAGATGAGTTGTGATTTTTATCATCTACTATATGTAAAATATGGCAGGAATAAAGAAGAAGGCATAAATGATAGATGACAGAGTTAAATCACCGAATTTCAGTCCCTAGGCATTCCTTTTCTTCTAAAGAATATTTTGGTGGCTTTGTAGAGGTTGGGAATGGAGTCTACTGAAATTCTGGAATGATAACAGGACTGACACACATAAACTGTCTGAATTACAGCACACATTGGAAAGCG